TTTTCATTAGGCTTGAAATGGACAGTGTAGAAACATAGAAACAAAGCAAGTCAGAAGGGGCCTCCCGGGCCATCTAGTCTGATCCCCAGCCCTAGCCAGCTCCGCTTACAACATGCCTACCATGTGCATGTTCAGTCTCTCCTTGAGCACCCTCACCAATGGGGCCTTAACTTCTTCACTACAGGCAGTCCATGCCAGCCTATGAACATACTGCACTGTGCCCAACACTGTGCCTGATGCCAGGAGTTGGGCCATCGGTGTGGCTCCACATTTCAGCCGTGTTTCATCATAATGATTCTCAAAAGATCATTCTAAGACTCTTCTGATTTCCTTACTTAGCTCCATCACTGTCATTAGAGACCCAAGTGACCTCCAGGGCCAGGAGTTTAGGCTGGTATGCCAGCTACACAGCAGGGACAGCCTGGCTGCTGATCCATGTACTGGCAACCTCAAGGTTAGTTTGGAAGCTGCATGCAGCGGATTACTGACCAGGGTGCCTTCCCATGGATATATTATGCCTGTGCTAAAGGATCTACATTGATTGCCAGTCTGCTACTGAGCTGGGTTTAAGGTATTAATATTGGTATATGAACCCCTAACCAAATCCCCTTCCAAGGAATGACTGCCTCATTTAGGCCCCTGAGCAAACTAGAAACTTTTGGAATCCGAAAACTGTCGTCCTTGTCTTGCAAGCAAGCCAATATCGAGCTTTTGGACACTCTCTAGTGGCTCTGGACACCATTTATAAAAAAAACTCCCCCTCCATTTTTTGCATGTGCAAGTGATTCTGGAGGGTGAAAATGCCCTCCTGGCCTCCCAAATTTGCCTGCCCCACTATATGTCAACTTCCCCAATGAGCAGGATCTTCAGGTGAGGCCCTGTGAGGCAGCCGGCCAATTTCTGTACAGGCCTTCTGTGAAGTAGGGCCCACCCATAAAATGATCTCCTCTCTGACCTGCTGCACATTCTGGACATTTATTGAAAACATCTCTCTTGGCTTTGGATTCCCCCAGTCATGACTATCAACTTCATAACTACTCACACATTTGTGTGAAGCATTGTTTGTTTCATTCTTATTCTTTTGTAAACATTTCAGGATTTGTTTTACATGAAAAGCAGTATATAAATATTGTCAATGATAAATGTGGAATTACGTGGGTGAATGTATGTATGTTTCAAGACTGGCAGCCTTACTGTAGACATTTGTCCTCGAGCTCAGCATTTCTTTCTCTTCCTTTACTCTTTTAGAAGCTAGTAAAAACATTGACTTTTATTTGGAAGCTGGTATCCTGTTCTGTGCTTTTCTGATAAGAGTTCACAATCCATCAATAAACTGTGGGTTCTTTTATAGGTTGTACGTAGTTAACAAACTTTGGTTTGTTCATGCAGCTGGATTCACACTCATTCATTCCACTGAAGTGACAGTGGAAATGAGATCAGTGGGTATAGTGTGTCTACTCATGGCTTATTGATTGTTAAGGCTGTGCATCACTTTTGGCCCAAAGTAGTATAGCATAATAAAAAGGTTCCCTCCCCTCGCCTCCGCTCTCCTCCCTATTCACTATTTTTGATTCTTCGTTAATTAAAAAAAAAAAAATTCTGAAGGAGTAACAGTTGACTAGACTTGTATTCGTGGTGCAATATTTTTTCTGTAGTAACTCAGAAAATGATGCATAAGGAGTTATTAATAGTCTCAGGAGTACAGTTAAGAGGAACTCTTGTTAGTTCCATATTTATCACATCTTTCTTCCAAAGGGCTTAAGTTGGCATGTATGGATCAGAACGTAGTGGGGTGCTTACACCCCTACTGATACCTTTGCATCCCACCAATTCCCCTCTGCAAACAGTAGGTCCCACCAGTTCTCTTGTGCTAATGGGACTCACTGCTTATGCAAGGGAGATGTAGTTCTGCCTAGGGAAAACCCCCAAAGAAATGTTTCTGCTCATTTGGGGTTGTTGAAAGCACACAGTTGCTGCTGCACAAGCTGCAAGGAGTATTTGTGGAACAGAATTGGCAAAGCAAAAAGAACTGGCAGGAGTGTATGCACTCCATCAGATTTTTCCTGTTGCTCTCCCCCTGCCTTCATCCTCTGAACAACTCTGTGCAGTAAGTTTAGACTATGAGCACAAGGGAACCCAGAGAGCTTACAGGTGAGTGAGGATGTAAACCTGCATTTTGTACTGGCTAATACACTATCCTAGAGGCAGGCAATTAGTGGCCATCCAAACATTTTGGCCTGCAGTGCCCATAGTCCCTTCCCATTGACTACGCTGCATTGAGCTGACTGGAGTTGTAGCCTCCAGATTTTTTTGCCTGCAAGTTGTTCACCAGTACTCTATCCAATAAGCCATACCAGCTCTGTCAACTTCTATATAGCAGTAATGTTAACTCTTTGAAATAAGACTCTACCTTTCAGTATTATAAGGTTTTATAATTTTTTTCATAGGGGAGGCTCAGCCATTCCCTGAATAAGTAAGTTTTTAAACATGTGTCTCAGGAAGTGAAAATATTGTTTTAAACACACTTTCATATCAAAGTGTGGACATTTCCTAATTTGTAAATGGCCATTACCTGAGGCTAAAAATAGCATGATACAAATGACAGATATTCTCCTTAGCTGTAAATTATCTTTCCACTATATTACACTGTTTTCTACAACATTGATATGCCTGTCATATCAATGTTGATATGACAGGAGAGCGGAGAGGGTCTTTATAACCCAAAAATAATAGCCAAACCTCCACATTCAGTTGCTATATATGTATTAGTTTGTGACTGGTTGAGTAATGTAATGTTGGCCTTTTGCAAATTGCTGTCTGGATCTTTATTTCTCAAATTTAGCATGGCACCGGTAGTTTTTCATTCTGTAATTAAAGCTGTATCCCACTTAATAGCTTTGATTCACTTATTATATTTCCTCACTTGTTTGTCCCCTTCTAATGCAGATTTATAGTTTCATAGCACTAGATAGAATTCTGGCAGGGCAAGGAAATTGTGTTGCGGAATGAATTGTTATAATAAAGTCTTAAGAAATGTGACTGCTACAGTCAGTTAGCCAACGAGTTAGTTTTTTCTGCAACTGTATCTTGGTTATCATAGTCATTGTAAGGAACAAATTGTAAATGAAGTACCTAAAAGAAGTCTTCATGCTACTGAAGTAGCTGTATAAAACTACTGAAGGAAGGAAGGTGGTCTAAAAGATGCTCCTAAAGGACCCTTGAAGGGCCTTGAGAAGAGTAAAAGGAAAAAAGCAACCAAGAACTCAAAGGAATAAAGAGGAAAGTTAATATTCACAGGGAGACCAAAGGGAGTTACGAAAATATTTATTTATTTATTTATTATTTATTAAAACATTTTTATGCCGCCCCATTCGCCGAAGCCTCGGGGCGGCTTACAACAAAAAATTTAAAATAACATTTTAAAATATATACAATAAAATACAAATATACACTATAAAACAAGCCGCCCTGGCCAAATAAAATTCAATAATATTAACATTTAAAATACTGCTTAA